CTCACAGCCAATCAACAAGATTAGGAGATATTAGCAGAATACTCCCATTTTGGGAAAGTGAGGTTATGTAATAATAATAATAATGCATCGGTTTTATTCCGCGCTTTTCTGGACACTCAAAGTCTCTTCACATGTCATTATTCTTTCACTCCAAACACAGTGGTGATAAACTACTACTGTAGCCACAGCTGCCCTGGGGCACACTGACAGAAGCGAGGCAACCAGTATCTAAGCTCGGTCCTCTACCAGAGGCCTGGGAGCCTGAGGGTTCAGTATCTTTGCTGTTCCTAGCACTGCACATTTCTGGACCCAGATGTCCGAGGTTGTTCCAGGGATCCGCTGTAACCTCTTCTAGCTTCAGGGTCACTGCCCCGAGTGCACCGATCACCACGGGCACTACTGTGACCTTTACCCTCCAGGCCCTCTCACTACTGTGACCTTTACCCTCCAGGCCCTCTCACTACTGTGACCTTTACCCTCCAGGCCCTCTCACTACTGTGACCTTTACCCTCCAGGCCCTCTCACTACTGTGACCTTTACCCTCCAGGCCCTCTCACTACTGTGACCTTTACCCTCCAGGCCCTCTCACTACTGTGACCTTTACCCTCCAGGCCCTCTCACTACTGTGACCTTTACCCTCCAGGCCCTCTCACTACTGTGACCTTTACCCTCCAGGCCCTCTCACTACTGTGACCTTTACCCTCCAGGCCCTCTCCAGCTCCTCTCTGAGACCTTGGTATTTCTCAAGCTTTTCATGTTAAGCTTTATATTTTTTCTATATGTATATATATATATATATATATATATATATATATATATATATATATATATATATATATATATATATATACTTAGCCCCACTCATCACAGATGGACAGAGGGAGTTGGATACAATTATCATTATTACTATTATTATTATTACTATTACTATTATTGAACATACTCTGTACCATGAACATACTATGTACCATGAAGATACTGTACCATGAACAGACTTAAAGAATCTGTGTCATGCAGCACTTTCAGAAACTATATTTGCTGAATATAAATCTTCCCATGATGCATTGCTGCAGGTCGTTACAGTGGATAAATTACAGACGCCACTCTTCACAGACTATTGGTCCAAACAATGAGATCAAACAAATTCATTCTGTTTTAATCCAAACTCAATCTCTCTCTTTCTCATGACACAGACCTGACCTGATCTCTCTCTCCAGACAGTAATGAGACAGTAATGAGACAGTTATGAGACAGAGACAGTAATGAGACAGTTATGAGACAGTAATGAGACAATAATGAGACAGTAATGAGACAGTTATGAGACAGTAATGAGACAGTAATGAGACAGTAATGAGACAGTAATGAGACAGTTATGAGACAGAGACAGTAATGAGACAGTTATGAGACAGTAATGAGACAGTTATGAGACAGTAATGAGACAGTTATGAGACAGTAATGAGACAGTAATGAGACAGTAATGAGACAGTAATGAGACAGAGACAGTAATGAGACAGTAATGAGACAATAATGAGACAGTTATGAGACAGTTATGAGACAGTAATGAGACAGTTATGAGACAGTTATGAGACAGTAATGAGACAGTAATGAGACAGTTATGAGACAGAGACAGTAATGAGACAGTTATGAGACAGAGACAGTAATGAGACAGTTATGAGACAGTAATGAGACAGTTATGAGACAGAGACAGTTATGAGACAGTAATGAGACAGTTATGGGACAGTAATGAGACAGTTATGAGACAGTAATGAGACAGTAATGAGACAGTTATGAGACAGTTATGAGACAGTAATGAGACAGTTATGAGACAGTTATGAGACAGTAATGAGACAGTTATGAGACAGTTATGAGACAGTAATGAGACAGTAATGAGACAGTTATGAGACAGTAATGAGACAGTAATGAGACAGTTATGAGACAGTAATGAGACAGTAATGAGACAGTAATGAGACAGTAATGAGACAGTTATGGGACAGTAATGAGACAGTAATGAGACAGTAATGAGACAGTAATGAGACAGTAATGAGACAGTTATGAGACAGTAATGAGACAGTAATGAGACAGTAATGAGACAGTAATGAGACAGTTATGGGACAGTAATGAGACAGTAATGAGACAGTTATGAGACAGTAATGAGACAGTAATGAGACAGTTATGAGACAGTAATGAGACAGTAATGAGACAGTAATGAGACAGTAATGAGACAGTTATGAGACAGTTATGAGACAGTAATGAGACAGTTATGAGACAGTTATGAGACAGTAATGAGACAGTTATGAGACAGTTATGAGACAGTAATGAGACAGTAATGAGACAGTTATGAGACAGTAATGAGACAGTAATGAGACAGTTATGAGACAGTAATGAGACAGTAATGAGACAGTAATGAGACAGTAATGAGACAGTTATGGGACAGTAATGAGACAGTTATGAGACAGAGACAGTTATGAGACAGTTATGAGACAGAGACAGTTATGAGACAGTAATGAGACAGTTATGAGACAGAGACAGTTATGAGACAGTTATGAACCGTAAAACCAGAAATGATCAAAGACCTTTCCTTTCCGGACCAAATATTCAGACAATTCTTTCATTGATGATTTCCATCACCACCAACCCAGACTAATAATCTATGTGTCGTTCCTTGTGGATCCAAAGTAGTTCCTAGATGGATCCGGAGTGGATCCAGAGTGGATCCTAGATGGATCCAGAGTGGATCCAGAGTGGATCCATCGTGAATCTGGAGTGGATCCATCGTGAATCTGGAGTGGATCCAGAGTAGATCCAGAGTAGATCCTAGATGGATCCGGAGTGGATCCTAGATGGATCCGGAGTGGATCCTAGATGGATCCGGCGTGGATCCGGCATGCAGGCTAAAGCCTAACCTAGAGACACATGGATATAAAGTCATGATCCATGTACTTAGCATGAACCATTAGCGGCTTTAGCATATTAGCTCGTCTCATGTTTATGAAAGTCTATTTGGAAACATGAAGGATTTACTCTGCAAATCCCTCTGAGTGCGACACATTTGAATATTACTGTAACTTAGACGGTAGATTATAGCTTTTCATTGATAAAAACAATGTGCTACGAGCGGCTAATGGCTTAGAGTTTTAGAGCTGTGTTTGTATCGATGTTTTCAGGCGACTGGAGCGAGACGGCAGGTCAGCCCTGTCAGCACAAGACGTCAATATTACTGACTACTCAGCTATTTCTATGTCTAGGTCACTATAACACACTACTCAGTTATTTCTATGTCTAGGTCACTATAACACACTACTCAGCTATTTCTATGTCTAGGTCACTATAACACACTACTCAGCTATTTCTATGTCTAGGTCACTATAACACACTACTCAGTTATTTCTATGTCTAGGTCACTATATCACACTAGTAGTAGTAGTAGCAGCAGTAGTAGCAGCAGTAGTAGTACTAGTAGCAGCAGTAGCAGTAGCAGTAGTAGCAGTACTAGTAGCAGCAGTAGCAGTAGCAGTAGTAGCAGTACTAGTAGCAGTAGTAGCAGCAGTAGCAGTAGCAGTAGTAGCAGTACTAGTAGCAGCAGTAGCAGTAGCAGTAGTAGCAGTACTAGTAGCAGTAGTAGCAGCAGTAGCAGTAGCAGTACTAGTAGCAGCAGTAGCAGTAGCAGTAGTAGCAGTACTAGTAGCAGTAGTAGCAGTACTAGTAGCAGTAGTAGCAGCAGTAGCAGTAGTAGCCCTTTGACCCTTAGTCCTGTGGCTCCGTAATCCTCCAACAATGATGCAGCTCAACAGCTGTATATATATATACTCTATATATACACACACACTGTAATATATATATATATATATATTACAGTGTTTGTGTGAGGGTCTACAGGGACAGAGTGAGGGTCAGTTGATGTCACATGATTGTATTTGACCTGCGATCTCCAAATGTCAAATGCAATAAGTCTGCTGTGGACATAGGATGAACGTGTCACGGATTAGTTCCATATGATAATTATCCAGAGTTTTCAAACCATCTGTCTCTAGGATTATATTCACACAATTACCACAGAGCAATCCTCTGCCCTCTGTCGCCAAGAGACAGGTCTGGTCTAGAGAGAGGTCTGGCCTAGAGAGACGTCTGGTCTAGAGAGAGGTCTGGTCTAGAGAGAGGTCTGGTCTAGAGAGAGGTCTGGTCTAGTGAGAGGTCTGGTCTAGAGAGAGGTCTGGTCTAGAGAGAGGTCTGGTCTAGTGAGAGGTCTGGTCTAGTGAGAGGTCTGGTCTAGAGAGAGGTCTGGTCTAGAGAGACGTCTGGTCTAGAGAGAGGTCTGGTCTAGAGAGACGTCTGGTCCCAGAGAACGGTCTGGGCTAGAGAGAGGTCTGGTCTTGAGAGAGGTCTGGTCTAGAGAGAGGTCAGGTCTTAGAGAGTTCTGGTCTTAGAGAGTTCTGGTCTTACAGGAGATGTTAGGTGCTACATCCTCAGTATCCACTCTTCTTCTTCTTCTTCTTCTTCCTTTTTACTTCAAATACTGTTTGTTTGATGTTTTCCATGTACTTCCTGTCCCTGGAGGAGGAGAGACCAGCTCCTGGTTTTATGTAACCGACTAATCAATCGCTACAAATCACAATAAGGCTAAAGCTGAAGACCCGCCGTCAGACGTGAGAACTCTGCTTTAAACAAGAAACAAGTCTGTTCCCTAACTCTAACTTAGAGATCAGTAAGAGCTGCAGGGTTAGAGCTGCAGGGTTAGAGCTGCGGAGTTAGAGCTGCAGAGTTAGAGCTGCAGAGTTAGAGCTGCAGAGTTAGAGCTGCAGAGTTAGAGCTGCAGAGTTAGAGCTGCAGAGTTAGAGCTGCAGAGTTAGAGCTGCAGAGTTAGAGCTGCAGAGTTAGAGCTGCAGAGTTAGAGCTGCAGAGTTAGAGCTGCAGAGTTAGAGCTGCAGGGATCAGGTCTGCAGGGTTAGAGCTGCAGAGTTAGAGCTGCAGAGTTAGAGCTGCAGGGATCAGGTCTTGAACAA